CTCCTCAGGCCCCACACAACTCGCTGCTTTGACACAACTAACACACCCCTTGCCTGGTTTATCTCTCCATGCATCTCTTTTGCAGGGAAGACTTAAGCAGTCCTTAGCTGTACCTGCCTTAAAGTCCTATCTCCTGCCTTATTCTGATACTGTCTTAGGGCAGCCTCCAGGTGTTTCAATCCTCTTTGTCACTGTCACCCTGATCATGGATGGAGACCCAGATAGGGGACTGGAAACAGAGACAAATAAGCAGATCTAAGTTTTTGGTGACTCAGGGAAAAGCATGAATAAATCCGTAACTGTCTGAGAAAAAAAAAAAACTGAGAAAAAGGTCCTTAAACACACTGAGAGAGTGATGGACAAGCAGCTGAACTTATTGTGTTTTGTGTGTCCCCATATCTTATTGATCCAGCTTTTGCAGCCGGTTAACTTCGCTTACTTTTGACCTTCCTTGAGACAGAGGTCAGCAAGATCTAAAGAAATCCATGGGTTTGTAATAAGCACCCTTTCCGAGTGTCAGGTCAGAAAAGGAACACTATGTGTTAACAAACAAGGATGTAAGTGGGTGAGAGGTATTGTATGATAATCAGGTCCTTTCCCCAATTCTCTGTCTTGCTGGTTTATAAGCCAAGATGCTTAAAAGGTGAAAACAATTGCTCGTGGCGGAACTGAATTCCTATTGACAGGCAGGGAATAGATGCTGGACATTAACAGAGGTGTCACCAGATCTTCCTCATTATCATATTGAGCTCTGTTAATTGAATACTGGCAGAAAGCCACAATTAAATGTACAATTGCCCCCCATTTACAAACACCTGCAAACACAGAAGGAGAACAATTTTATTTTGTTGGTTTTCTTTTTTTCTTTTTATAAATCCCATAGTCAAGCTTTCGAAAAGCTGAAATTCAATTTCAGTGGCATGGGTTGGAGCAGCTTTTGAATGTATCTGCCAGAGAGAGAGAGAAATAGGGGCATCCCATAACATGTTAGTATAATTAACAGTGGTGTTAATGCTTGGAGATGCTGGCAGCAACATCTGGATAGCCACAGTCATCTCTTGAACCATGATCTAGAACAGGGGTCTCCAACCTCGGCAACTTTAAGACTTGTGGACTTCAACTCCCAGAGTTCCTCAGCCAGCAAAGCTGGCTGAGGAACTCTGGGAGTTGAAGTCCACAAGTCTTAAAGTTGTCAAGGTTGGAGACCCCTGATCTTTAACAAAGGTCCCAGAATTACTGAGCTAATATGACTGGAGGAGGAATTCTGGGAGTTGAAGTCCACAAGTCTGTCAAGTTTGAAGACCTCTGCTCTAGAAAGACACAGAACCCTGGAATTACCAATGCTAGTCATGGCAGGGTGGTTTGGGGCTGCTTCCCTTAGTAGCCAACCCAATCCAAACCAGCCTGCCACTTCATGAACCAACATTAATATGATGTTCAGATGTTCCTCAGACATCCATAAGACCATTGTGCAACAGTCCCCTTGACCTCTTCACCCAAACAGATAACTGTAGCCACAAAGATACATCTATCTTTCTGACATTACAGGATGCCCTTAGAGAAGTGAAGTGTTGTTAGTTGCGAAGTCGTGTCCAACCCATCATGACTCCAGGCCTTCCTGTCCTCTACCATCTTCTGGAGTCCATTTAAGTTCATGCTTCCTGCGTCAGTGACTCCATCCAACCCCCTCATTCTCTGCCGTCCCCTTTTGCCTTCAATCTTTCCCAGCGTTAGACTCTTCTCCAGTGAGCCCTTGCCTTGTTTGTTCTCCTTGTTTGATGTGAAGTGTTTAGGCCCACCTAAAGTGGCCCAAGAAATAATATAATCTCCACAACCAATATTTCCCCTTGAAACAAAAAAGAAATGAAAATTCGGCCAGATGCAGCTTCTCCTATTCTTGGGAACAGTTCTATGGGAAAAAGAGGACCAACGTTGACCAATTATTTTTTTCTTTGAGGTCCTTTCCAAGATCTGATTCCCCAGTTGTATTTATTTGCCATTCCATCTCAAGAGCCCCTCCAAAAGCATTTGAATTCTCCATCTCTGATGTCAGATTGCACTCTAAAGCTCTACTCCCTTCCCCACGCGACTCCCAATTCCATTAACCTGGTCTGAGCACTGAGGAAGACAAAATAATTTGGAGTTAGAGTAGCTCACCTTTCTACAAACCAAGAGGTCAGCGGGTATTCATTTAATAGCTTCTTCAGTTGTGGTGCCGCTAATACTGAACACCAGTGTCACACACGCTGATGACACAAGACTCCTCCTTTGATGTTTTTCACCCCTGTTCTGAAGAGTGATCATTAAATCTGGGAAGTCCTTGAGATTCAGAGGCCCATCACTTCGTGGACACATTCAGCCTGAACTGTTTTGTGATTCCTTTTAAATTGCATCAAAGGCACCTCCCAGGAGGCTGGTGGCCTCTAAAAACCAGTCATTATCTGTATATACACAAAAAGAACTTTAAGGTTACAACCTGAATACAATGCACTGATTCTCAGTTAGTCCAGTCAAACTCAGGATGTATAAGAAGCACTGCCAAATTTGCCCTGTTCAGTCACTCAATAGATAGAAGTCGTAATCTTTTCTTCCTTTAGAGCTGACCTACCAACCCAAGAAGAAAGAATATTTTGTTCTGAATTAGGCACATTCTTTTTGGTATTTATCTTGTTTGGGAAGTAATCATTTAACCGGCCAGTCCAGCTGTAGTAAATTACTGTACAGGTAATCCTTGATTTACAACTGTTCCTTTTACCGACCTGTTCAAAGTTGCAACGGCCCTGAAAAAAAAGGGACTTATGACCATTTCCCCAGACTTACGACCATTACATGGTCACGTGATCAAAATTCTGACTTGTATTTGTGACAGGATCACTGGATCTTCTTTTGCGAACTTCTCGCAAGCGAAGTCAATGGGGATGCCAGAATAACTTAACAACCAAGTCCCTAGCTTAAAAACCACTGCCCCTCACTTAACAACGGTAGCAAGAAAGGCCGTAAGATGGGGCAAAATTCACTCCGCCGATGTCTCATTTAATGACAGAAATGCTGGGGTTGATTGTGGTCGTAAGTCAAGGACTACCTGTATTATCTAAATCGGCATGGCTGAAATTCTATTGTAGAGACATTCACACTGGTGCATGCAGATGCTATCACAGGAATATAGCTTTCCTTAAATACAGTAGTTTGAAACAGAAAAAAAAACTGTATGTTTGCATTCCCTCCCTCCCCTTAAATGCGCACATGTCATTCAAATGTGTAGGCTTGGTGCAAAAGGTGTGGGTTTTGTGTTGTGAGATCTGTTAGTTGACTGAGTTGAACTTTTACTGGCGCTTTTTTGATGGGCGTTTGGATGGGCGTTTTGGTGGAAGCAATATATACACACAGTTCATAAGATACTTTTTTTTTTTTTAACCAAGTGAATGATCTTCTTGTTGTGGTTGTTGGTTTTTTTTTTTTTTTTTTTTTACAAGGTGGATTCAGTTTTGCTGTCTGCAATTTTGCCTTATGGAGCATTTAACCTGTATTTTATTTTGGCATACTTCATTAGCTCTTCCTGGAGAGAAAGTTAATTGCAGTTCGAAAACCCTTGCCAGGAAATTATATATTTATTTGCGGCCCAAAAAAGGTTTCCATAAGGTATTCTTAAATTATAAATAAAACAGAGTCTTGTTAATAATAGCTCTGGTTGATCTTGTTCTAGATGCCATCTGTATTCATCTGATATTGGTTGCTGAGTCACCTCCTTGAGATGAATTCAACATGGCTAAAGTACAGTATTATTAGACTTGAATAAGGTTAAGATTGTCTGAAGTTGTTTGAAGTGTGAATCATTGCAACCGTTCATTCATTGCAACCCTTCAAGCAACTTCAGATAATCTTCA